TTGGAAGCAATAAAGTGGAGCTTCACCGCATACCTGAGAGTGGTGCCATCTGGGCTGATCAAGATTAGGCCCGCTCCTCCTCCTTCACTGATCGAGGAGCCATCTACGTAGAGTTTCCAAAGTAGAGGAGTGGAGGGTTTGGAATTTGAAATAGAACACCGGTCATCCGGTGAAGCCATCTGGGCACTAGGGACTTGAGGTGCAGCTTGGGATGCAGGAGCTGGAGGTGCAGATTGGGATGCCTGGGCATCTGGAGGGGCAGCCTGGGATGCTTCTGGAGGAGTAGTTTGGTATGTCTGGGCGTCTGGAGGTGCAGCCTAGGATGCCTGGGCATCAGGAGTTGGAGGTGCAGCTTGGGATGCCTGGGCATCAGGGAAGGTTGTTTGGGCTCCTAGGGAGGAGACCTGGGTGCCCGAACTAACCTGAGCGCCTGCTTGAGGGTCTTTGCTAGGCTTCTTGGTGTCCCCGTTGGGCATCTGGGCATCCTCGTTGTTCCCCTCTTCTGTTGGTGTGAGTTCGACAATGAAATCTGCTAGGGCTTGTGCTTTGATGGCTATCCTGGGTTGATACTGAATGTCGAACTCCCCGAGTTCCACTACCCATTTAAGAAGTCTGCCAGATACATCCGATTTTTCCAAGACTCTTTTAAGAGGTTGGTCTGTGATGATCACTATACGGTTGCCCTGGAAGTAGTGTCGCAGTCGTCTCGCCGTCGTGACAAGAGTGAGTGCCAGTTTTTCTAGTGCCGAATATCTGACCTCTGCCCCCCGGTATGCCCTGCTCACGTAATAAATTGGCTTTTGCACTCCATTATTATCTCTGACGAGCACTGAGCTTATTGCTGATAGGGAAGCAGAAAGGTATAGATGGAGAGCTTCTCCTGGAGTGGCATGTGATAGGAGGGGAGGTGCTGCCAGGTAGACTTTGAGCCTTTGAAAGGCCTCCTCTGCCTCAACTTTCCACTCAAAGGCCTTTCGGAGAGTCTTGAAGAAAGGGAGACATTTGTCTGCAGACTTAGAGACAAACCTATTTAGTGCAGCGATTCTCCCATTGAAGCGCTGGAGCTCCTTGGTTGAGGAGGGTGACTTCATGTCGAGGATGGCCTTGATCTTGCCAGGATTCGCCTCAATTTCCCTCTGGTCGACCATAAAGCCTAAGAATTTTCCTGACCCCACACCAAAGGCGCACTTCTCAGGGTTGAGCTTCATGTGATAGGATCTCAGGACATTGAAAGTTTCTTGGAGGTGATCAATGTGGTCTATTGCTGTGAGACTTTTCACCAGCATGTCATCCACGTATACCTCCATTGTTCGTCCTATCTGAGACTGGAACATCTTATTCACCAGCCGTTGGTAGGTTGCTCCTGCGTTCTTTAGCCCAAAGGGCATGACCCTGTAGCAGTATGTCCCCTTTGGCGTGATGAATGACGTCTTCTCTTGGTCTGGGGGATACATGCTAATCTGGTTGTACCCAGAGTATGCATCCAGGAAAGTGAGCAACTCATGCCCTGCGGTGGCGTCGATGAGGAGGTCAATTCGCGGCAAAGGTAACTATCTTTTGGGCACGCCTTGTTGAGTTCTGTGAAGTCGACGCAGAGGCGCCACTTCCCATTAGCCTTAGTGACCATTACCACATTGGAGAGCCACTCAGGATATGCTACTTCTCTGACCGCCCCGTTATCTATTAACTTTCCAACCTCCTTGTTCATGGCTTGGGCCCTTTCAGTGGAGGCTCCCCTTAACTTTTGGCGAACAGGCTTGTAACGCGGATCAACATTGAGACGGTGTGTGGCCACTTCTGGGTCGATGCCCTCAAGGTCCTCATGCGACCACGCAAAGACGTCCATGTTGCACTTCAAAAAATCTATTAACAAGCAAGCCAAATCCTCAGAAAGGGAAGAGCCAATGTAAATTCTTCTGTCTGGATGTTCCTCATCCAAGACCACAGGGGTGAGCTCCTCGACTGGCTCTCCTCTTTCTGTAGTGGAGTCATCCCTTGGGTCAAGGATCTCAACCTGCAACGCTTCTTGGGGCTTCCTAGCCTTTACAGAGGAGACATAGCATTCTCTGGCTACTACCTGGTCTCCTCTGACCTCTCTGACTCCATTTGAGGTTGGGAAACGGAGAACGAGATGGTAGGTGGAGGGCACAACTCTCAATGTGTTAAGAGCTGGCCGTCCTAATATGATGTTATAGGCTGACGGACACTCTATTACTAGAAATTGACCATAACTGTGGAGCTTTGGGGTGCTACTCCGGCGGTGATAGGAAGTGTGATGGACCCAAGGTGATACACCTTCTCCCCTGAGAATCCAATGAGAGGTGACCTGATAGGCTGCAGCCTCTCCCTGCCCAAGTTGAGCTTGTCATAAGCCTCTGCGAATAGGATATCCGCAGAGCTACCACTATCCACCAGGATCCTGCGCACATTAAAATTGGTCACTGTCATGGTGAGCACCAAGGGGTCATCATGGGGGTGCTGGATTCCCTCCAAGTCCTTATCTGAAAAAGATATGACCTTGTCGCTATCCTGCTTTGGCACCTTAGATGGGCGCATCTCGTCGACATGCCTTGCCTTTCTAGCATGCGCCTTCATTGCAGAAAGTGACTCTCCCCCTCCTGCTAGTCCTCCTGAGATGGTGTGTATCTCCCCCACGGGCTGCTGATCTTCTTGATTATGAGGTTGTGGTGCTCGTTCCCTTCCAGCAACGTACTGGCGCAGATGACCACGCTGGATGAGCTCCTCAATTTGCCTTTTGAGTTCGTAGCAGTCATCGGTGTCATGCCCGTGGTCGCGATGGAAACGACAATACTTGTTAGGATTTCTGCGATTTGGAGGAGACTTATCGCGGGGTCATCCTGGATCTGGAATAGGATGTGTCCCACGGCAGCATTGAGGGGAGTGAAGGGTTGACGGTCCCTCTGAGGAGCAGGACCTAGCCGGTCCTTGACAGGGACTCTCTTTGTTCTGCCACGCTTGTTGCTAGTCTCCTTCTTATCGTCCCTCTCCCTTTCCTTCCTCTTCTCCCCCGCTCTGGAGGACTCACCTCGCCTGGCCCTTGTGATGTCTTCCGCATTCATGTACTTTTGGGCCTTGGCTAGCAGTTCTGACATATTTTTCGGTGGGCACTTCATCACTAAGAAAAGGAAGCTTGATGAACGGAGGCCACCCAAGAAGGCGGTCATCGTCACCTTGTCGTCAGGCTCATCAACTTGGAGTGCCTCCTCGTTAAAACGAGTGAGATAACTCCTCAGGCTCTCCTCGCGGTCCTGTTTTATACTAAGTAGGTGCGTAACAGGCTTCTGGTGGCGACGCCCTCCAATGAAATGTGAAACGAATGATCTGCTAAGCTCAGCAAATGAGGCAATGGAGGCGGGGAAGAGCTTAGCGAACCACTGTCGGGCAGACCCCTTTAACGTGGTTGGAAATGCCCTGCACATGATTTTGTCTGGTACGTTGTGCAGCTGCATCAAAGTCTTGTAAGTGTCAAGGTGGTCTATTGGATCCTTTGTTCCATCAAAGGTCTCCACAGATGGCATTTTGAACTTCTGAGGGAGGGGGTAGTTTGCTACATTAGGCTTGAAAGGCGTATCCGTGCGCCTTACCAGGTGGTCTACAGTTTCGGGTCCTTGTGCCTTCATGGCATTGAAGACATCACCCAGTTGATTTTGTACTTCCTTGATTTTCTCGTCCCAATGATTAGGGGCTCCTCTGGAATGATCATGGAAATGACTTTCATGCTCGATGCTTTGGTTTTCGCCCACATCCTCTTGGAGATAAGGGTCCTCTCCATGGGGAGCAAGAGGAGGGGGAGGTGGAACTCCCTCATGTTGGGCTCCCCCAAATGGGGTGCCTAGGTGTGGAGCAGCAGGGCATGGTGCTCCTTGGTGTCCAGGGTGTGGTGCTCCTTGGTGTCCAGGGCGTGGAGCTCCTTGAGGTCCTCCATGTTGTGCACCTCCGAATTGCGCTCCTCCTTGGGGTCCTCCAAGTTGTGCACCTCCGTGTTGTGCTCCTCCTTGGGGTCCTCCATGTTGTGCACCTCCAATTGTGCTCCTCCTTGTCCAGCAAGCATGAGTTGCAGTAACTGTTGGTTTTGGGCCACCAGCTGCTGCATGATCTCCAACATTTGCTAGGGATTCGGAGCTGGAGCATTCGGGACAGAGTTGGTAGGCGGAGGAGTAACCTCCTCCTCTCATGGAGGATTGTCTTCGGGTTGATTCATGGATCGGGTAGTGATCGCCATTAGTTCAGTGGATGTAATGTTCAGGAGTGAGAATTTTATCGTTTTCCACAGACGGCGTCAAACTAATGATGCACAAAAATGGTTTTGTACACCACCTGTCAAGTGTAAATAATAAATGCAGTGAAAGTAAAGAGAGAATCGGAGAAGACAAGATTTATAGTGGTTCGGTCAACTCGACCTACGTCCACTCTTGAATGGTGTATTTTATTAATTTAAGGGTATGGAGACAGAGAATACAAGCTTCGAGGGAGAAGAGAATCAGGGAAGGTGTGATGCCAGGCAATCAGTCTCCTCCTAAGTGTTGATGGAGTGTGCAATTTATAGTGGCTCCCTAACAGGTTGGGGCTACTTTCCAGCGACTAAACAACCATTTTGGTGGAGCTCCGATCTCTTCTCAATGGGTGAGGTGGTTGAGGAGCTCTCCATGAGACGCGGTCAAAGATTTGGTGAGGGTGGACCGTTTCCTTCGGTGGTGCAGATAAGGCTTCCAATGCTCTCCCCTTGATGACGTGGTTAAGCAAAAAGTCTAACTTGGTCTTGGGCTATGTTGGGTTTGGTGGATTTTTAAATGAGGTAGGGCTTCTTAATTGAGATTTGGACTTTACACATAGATTGAGCCATTTTGGGCTTGACCCATCAAATCTCTCTAAATATTTATGTGGCACTATTAATGTAAGAACATCATCAGAAGCCTTTTTTTGGATAGAGAGGTTTAAGTTAGTTCGTTGACCTGCATTGCTTTTTTTGATAGAGAGGTTTAAGTTAGCTTGTTGACCTGCATTGCTTCATAAAGCCTCCTCTTTTTACGTGGCATCACCATCTTGGAAATGTTGGCAGCATCCTGAGCAATTTGTTGGAAGTCAGGAAGAGATTCGCCTCCAGCCTCTGTGTCCTCAACAGAATTCTGCTTAGTGGCATTTGAGACAGAGGAACACTGGACGTCTTGAAGTTCTATTTTTAATTCATCATGATATTGTTTCTGTAGAATTGACATCTGTATCCATCCCAAATTATGTACAATCAAATTCATGGATTATTGTATATAGTTAGATCAATATGAGATCAACCACAATATCGAACTCTAAAAGTTTAGTTTTCAAAAATCTAACAGAAAAAAAAGGATGGAAATAAAAGTTCATATACTCACGAGTTATTTAAGAATAGATTGAAGTTATTCATCATTCTATCATTTGTTAATAAACTCTTTGGACTACATTCTCTTATGCCCAAAACCGACATAATAATCACCACACATTTCATTTCCCAATATCATGCAATCCAAATAAAGCACAAAAAAAGATTAAATCACCTGCTATAATTAAATCTAACTGCTATAATTAAATCCAATTTGAATTTTGTTTATTTAAGCCAGATAATAGATGCAAAGTTGAAAAAATAAATTGTGATTGTAATGTACTAGATGTGGAAAAAAGACATAACTTTGGGCCTTACACTAGTTTATACCACTGCTGCCTATCTTATTGTCTCAGATTTACTCGAGTAGCATAAATGAAACACAAAGGAAAAAAAACATTATCATGGATGAGAGATCTAAAGATACAATCAACAACTATATAGTGCAAGCAACACATGTATATGGGGTGCAAGCAATCAATGGAAACCTACCGGAATTGCATACATAAAACTTATGTGAGGACAATATGCCCGATGAGCTGCTGGAACGTTATGACAATTGAGAGGGAAAAGGCATGAGAGAGTAAATATGAAAGGGATAATAATAGAGGGTTTAAAAAGAAAATAAAAGGAAATTCAAATATAAAGTACATTAACAGATATTAATGGTATGGGATAGCCAGGAAAGTAATACTAAATCCTCTCGGGCATTTTCTCAAACAGGTAGAGGGTGGGGGGCTGATTGTGGTGTCGTTGGGTGTGTGTGAGATTTGCTTGAGGGAGAAAGAAGGAGAGATGAGAAAGGGAGGGAGGCACAAAGATTACCTATCACCGGTGGTTCGTCGGTGCTTTCTCTCGAATTGGCAGAGGTCAATGGCGTAGATAATATGCTTGAAGGTATAATTTCGGCGACTATTGGTTTGCTAGAGATGTATATTAGAGATTTATCTTACACGAAAATATAAGAACTGGAAAGACAGATAGAACACCGTGAATAATCGAAGAGAAATAAAACACACCATACAACACTCAATCAAATCAAACTGAATCAAATCTCAAAATCCTAATTAGCCAATATAATTTTTACCTCAGATCTGAGAATTTTATAAGACTATTGATTTGGAGCTGAAGTTGAATAGACGGTAGAAGTTAACCAGCGCTGTGAGAGGAGGAGAGAGAAGGAACAACTTCCCTGGTGTTGAAACAGAGGATGTGGTGGCATATGGAGAAATAGTGTTGAAAGACCGTCGTCGCTTGAGAAGTCAAGAGAATGAATTGAGGAAAAATTTAGGTTTGTGTTGGGGGAGGAAAAAAAAATTTTTTTTATTATTTTTAATTAAGAATTTGTGGCGTTTGACTTAAATGCCAGAAATTAAGCAGAAAAAAATAGATTTTATTATTTTTATTAATAACTTATGGCATGTGTAAACAAATGCCAATTTTAGTGGCATTTAAGTTAAACGCCGGAAATTCAATGTCGGATTTTTTCACAATTCTTGTAGTGTATGAAGCAATTTGTTAAGAATACAATTAGCAGATAATAAGACTTCCCCCCACAAGTTTTGGGGTGCTCCCAAACTTGACAACATAGCATTCATCATTTCTTTCAATGTTTGGTTTTTTCGTTCAGCTATGCCATTTGATCGAGGTGAATAGGGGCAGTCGTTTGGTGAATGATTTCATGTGTTGCACAAAACTGCTTGAAAGAAGATCCATTTCACTGCCCCTATCACTTCTTAGTGCCTTTATTTTTCTACTAAGTTGATTCTCAATTTCATTCTTATAATGCTTAAACATATCAATAGTCTCATCTTTATTTCTAATTAAGTAAACATAACAATATCTTGTACAATCATTCATAAAAGCAATAAAATACTTTTTACGACCTCTTATTTGCAGAAATTTTAAGTTACAAATATCACCGTGAATTAATTCAAGAGGTTTTGTACTTCTTTCAATTGACTTGAAAGATGTTCTTGCCAACTTTTCTTTCACACAAGTCCCACATTTATGATTTAGATCAATAGACATCTTAGGCAAATCATTTAAATTAACTAATCTTTAATTACATCATAATTAACATGTCATAGTCTAGCATGTTGCACATTAGAAGACTCAAGCAAGTAAGAAGATTCATCTCATTCTTATTAGTAGAAGATGTGGGTATGACAATCATTACATTGAGCTTAAAAAACTCATCACTCATGTATCCATTCCCTACAAACATCTCATTTTTAGTGAGTACAAATTTATCAGATACAAAGACTAACTTAAAGACATTCTTGCTAATCAAGGTATTGAACACTAGATTCTTGCGAATATCTGAGACATGAAACACTTCATTTAAGGTGAGTTCCTTGCCGGATGTCATCTTGAGTATCACCTTACCACTTCCTTCAACCTTAGAGGTAGAGGAATACCTCATATAGAGTTGTTCATCATTCTCGAATTTTTTATAAGTAGAGAATATCCATTTGTTGGAACAGTTATGTCGAGTATAGAGATATTCATGTCATTGACTTCCATAGAAAGCTTGTTCGTTTCATTCATGTTTGCTTGAGCATTAGGCTTTTTGAAATTCTTTGGCCTACGACAATCTTTTGAGATATGCCCCGGTTTGCCAAAGTTTTAGCCCTTGCCCTTGAATTTCTTCAATCCTTGATTTGGACCTTCGTCATTGTGCTTCCTTTTCTTGTTAGTCTTGATTCCACTTTCAATTATATTGGTCTTAGATTCCATGGAATTAAAAACTCCATTTTTCTTCTCTAATTTACGGTTATCCTCCTTGATCCTCAAGCGAACAATCAATTCTTTGAGTTTCATCTCTTTGCACTTATGCTTGAGATAGCTCTTGAAATCCTTCCATAGGACTGGTAATTTCTCCACAATTGTAGCCACTAGGAATGACTCACTAAGAGACATTCCTTCGACATGGATGTCCCGAAGGATTACTTGAATTTCTTGAACTTGAGAGATAACAGTCTTAAAATCCAAGAATTTACAGATAATGAACTTTTTCGTGCCAGCATCCTTGATCTTTTACTTTTTGTCCAAGGACTCCCAAAGCTCTTTCGTGGTTTTAACTACACTGTACACATTACATAATGCATTGTCTAACCCATTGAGGATGTAATTTCTACACAAGAAATCCAAGTGCTTCCAAGCATTCACATCAGCCACCTTTTCTACATTTGTTTCATTCTCATCAAGTGAGGGAACATCTTCCTTAAGAAACTTTGCAAGATTAAGGGTGGTAAGCTAGAAAAGCATCTTTGATTGCCAACATTTGAAGTTCAATCCATTAAACTTCTCAGGCTTCTCCCCATGAGACACACTCATGGTTGTACGAATAACTGTTGTACGAACAATAGTAGGAGGAACAAATCATTTGAAATTGTCATTTCTATCACACAAACAAAAGCAATAATTTAATAGTAAAGTCTAACAGAAGACACAATTCCGATTTGTGATAGATATAGTAATTAATGAAAATAAAACAGTAACATAATACAAAATTCTGTTTTAGACTTATAATAGTACTTAATCAAATTATAAAACACTAAATCTGTGTTAAGATTATAATACAAAATGTATACATAATTAGATTATATTAAACTGTATAAATCCTAAATCTTGCACTAATTTAGTGACACGGTCCACGTAGAGAAAGGAAGGAAATAAGTCCAAGAAGGGTTAATACTGTTCTGACAATAACTTTTGATCCGTTTAGAGTTATGGGGCCCATAATATATCAAATCGAAGCTTACGATGAGCCCTACAAGAAATATAACCTTTGGCCATGATAGACACTGTTAAAATTCCCAAAAAGGCATGAAAATATGTGTTTGTGCCTTCTGAAGTTTTTCCAATTTTGAGTTTATTCAGATTATTTCGTAATTTAATTATTCCTTGCATAATTAGGTTTTCCAGCTTATTGTTTATTATTTAAAGGATGTTTTCATGTGTTTTAAGGTTAAATCTTATTATTCTAATTTTATAAACATTGTTGCTTAGTCAATTTATCCAACTTTGTGAATTCTTGTGATTGCAAAGTTATATAGATTCAATTCCTGTAATTGTTTCTATTCGTTATTAGCCTTTTGCTGTGTCAGTTGGTATCAGAGCAAGGATTCTGGCCTGCGAATTGATGGTTGTTGAACGTGTGCAAGGCAACCCACCTCCTTGTAATGACGAGGGGATGATGGTCATCTAGACTAGATTGTAGAATCTAGAGGCCACAACTGGGACCCTAATTAGTAGAATAAATAGGCTGGAGGTTAGTACCGGTGATCTAGCAGTAGCAGTCAACATGCTAACCGAAAGGATTGGAGCTGTTAGGGCCAACATGTGTTAAAATGATCATCGTAGTACTAGCAGGGATCACAGACTACATATCAACCGTCAGGGGCATAGGTAGGAACGTAGGAGAGAGGATTCTGATGGTGATAAGGAGCAGTTTGGTGCATATGAGGAGCCTGATCATCGGGCTATGGTGCGTGGTAACTAGTTCCAGGCTAGAGACGATCTTAGGGGCCAAAATTAGGATTTTCAAATTAAAGTGGATCTTTCTACTTTTGATGGGACTCTTGATTTTGAGTCAGTTTTTGGATTGGCTATATGAATTAGAAAGGTTCTTCGATTTTGCTTCAACCCTAGAGGATAAATAAGTTGAAATTGGTGGCTTACAAGCTAAAGGGAGCTGTCGGTACTTGGTGGGAGAACGTGCAGACCACTTGAAGAAAACAAGGAAGAGTACCAGTGACATTATGGGGTCAGATGAAAAGGATGTTGAGGGAATGATTCTTTCCGTTGGATTATGAACGGGTCATATTTCAAAAATTACAATGGTGTCGTCAAGGC